TATATACACATATACACGCTGCATCGGGCTGGCTTCAGGAGGTATTCAGAGAGAACAGCTGAAGAAGGCTGAAGAAATCCAAGGCTGAAGAAATCCTAGGAAAGCTCCCCCATGTAGTATCTATGACACAAAACTGGTCTCATTTGAAATAAAATAATAGCAAATCACCAAAACTTTCTGCAGACTTAGGGAGGACAAGTAAGGAGCCAAGAATGTGAATTTACAGCATGTTCGCTGCTCCACAGTAACCAGTCATGTGCACGCTCTTATCCTGCAGCAAATTTGAAATAATTTTCTCCTAAATAAAAGCAGGGTGAGCTGCCTCTCATTTATCATTGGCTAAGAGCAGGCACATAGAAAGGTACTGAGTAGTCACTGATGTACTGCAAATCCATACTGTAGCTTGCCTCACAATGACTTGCTTACTTAGCCATACTCTTAGAAAAGCATCATTCATCCTTTTCTGCTTATCTTCAGAATTACAAGTCTAGAGACATTAAAAAAAGCATTAATATAAAGCAAATATTTATTTTTCACTGAGATTCCTCCCGTGCAAAGTTTGAGGGGATGGTTGATTCTGAATTTAAAAGTGTGGTAGCTGAGGAACACTTCTCAGTGTTTTTACTTCTCTTTAAACCACATAAGTTTCATACACTTATCACATGAAACAAACTGGGAAGTGGTTAAAATTTAATCTGATTTAATCAAACCTAAAAAAAATGGGGGCACCTCTCCGTGATAGCACAGAGCTGCCAGCAGTGGTATGAGCCTCCCCACCCAGGCCCACTCTGCCCTGCCATGCTGGGACCCAACCACTGAGCTTCAGAGGCCCCCAGGGGGAGGGCAGAAGGGTAGGGAGCCCCGAACCTGTAATGGGCAGCCCACACCTCCCCCTCCCCACCATCGGCTCTGTTTCATTGTAAATATATAATTGAAACATTGTGTTCAGCTGATACCTATATATATAGTGGTGTTTCATTTTAATTACATATTATGGGGGGGTTAATCAGAGAATTTGACATTTTTATCAGAGAATTTGCAGTTTTTAAACAGAGAAAACCAGGATCCCTGGCAAGAACTATAATTTTTACATTTTTTCACTAAAGCTCCATAAAAGTAGATGAATTAATGGGTTTAAAGACTCTCACACAGTGCAGTAGGATTGCACTTAGGGTGCCTATACATGTGCTGTGGGAGCGGGGAGGGGAGGGCATTTTGATTACAGCGGCTCACAGACAAATCCTTTAATTAAAATGCTGCAGCGCGATCTGTATTCAGCACCCTGCATTTCAAAATAGCATTGGGGGCACATTAAACCAAACCTTATTCAACAACTTTTAATTAAAGCACCCCCTCTGCCATTTTGAAACACGAGGTGCTGAATAAATGTGATGCCACAGCATGCTGGAGCATTCTAATTAGATTAATCAATTAATCAAGCCTGATCTGACATGTTCTAATTAGAATGCATCAGAGCATGGATATAGGCACCCTTAGATGCCTTACAAGTGCCACTTTAAGTGCTGCATTAAGTACATGTTAAATTCCTAAAAAAGTGGAATAGGATATGGCCTTGCTGTTCATAAAGCACTGTAGTCACATTTAAAGCTACATTAATACAGCAATTACATTAAAAAGCTGCATAAACTTGGCAATTTGTCTTTGCTTTGTGAAATACCATGTTAGCATTTCAAATGTTCTATTGGGGTGTCCCAACCCCTCCCTCCCCCCGGGTCAGATAGACTGCCTATCACCATCACTTCTGTTTTGTCTAGATTCAGGTTCAATTGGTTCACCCACATCCAATACCCAAATTCATCCAGGCACTGGGAAAGTACAGAGACTGTAGGGTCAAGGTCAGATGAGAAAGAAGAGCTGGGTGTCATCAACGTACTGCTGATACCTCACTCCAAATCTCTGGAAATCTTGGAAGATCTCATTGCTTTACATCTGAAACCAAGGTCTCCTGTGCATTTTCACTAAACCATCACCAGGCCAGTTCTACATAAAATCTGCAAACAAAGGATTTGTTAATTCAAATTAAATCCAGGTTCTCTCAAATGTAATAGATACTCTTTAATAGTTTTATGTGCAGTGGGTCTGATGCCAGAACAAAAGTGATCACACAGGGAGTTACTCAAGAATCGTTCTTCCAGAAGAGTCACTGTTCTGGAATAGTTATTCAGGAAAAATTCCAGCTTTAGATAAACCATAAAATCATTTTTAATTCCCACCTTTTGGTATTCAGTATAAATCTTAGTGAAGACACTATGGAGTCAAAAGGTTCTAGATTTCAGCAAAAGCAAAGGAGGACAAATTTTATTCTACACTTTAGGAATCTGTATACTGAATTGGACTGGAATAATAAAAGGTAGTAATGAAAGCTGATCTATCAGCAGTCATCTTGTTGCAGTTGCGGGGGGTGTATTTTATATGTAAACAAAGATAAGGATGTTAATTTAGTAAACAATAGAATGTGCTATCATTGTACAAAAATACTCCAGAAAATTCCATTTAACACAGCATTAACACAATATTAGAAACTGCAAAAATCAGTCACAGGAAATGCCACATACACGGTAGGCTACACTCCCCAAATTTGCTCCTTTGTGCGTATCCATCATGAGACAGTCTTGAGGTATATACTTGCATTGGATTTTTTTCACAGAACACTGCATTTATTCATTCATTATGGTCATGGATCCATAAGGCAATCAATTGTTTGACTTTGTAAACTTAATTACACACTTAATGAAGGTTGGTGGGTCTTTGTATGCATGGGTAAATTATAGTTCAGCTACAGCAGTGTAAATTGAGGGTAAGGCCATTGTATATTTACTCCAGACTTATACCAGTATGAGAGAAGAATCTAATTCATATATTCTGTAAAAGACATTGTGAAAGAAGGTGAGAAGAAAAAAGTACCTTACTTTTATACCATTTGTGAAATCTTCTACTTGGGAACACATTACAGCTTCATTGTTCCTGCTGTGGCTGACTGAGGAATTGAATCACTGAAGCAAAAGAAACACCTGGCTGGAGTAGTATAAAGGAATACAGCTGTTCTTGCCCAACTCCCAAGATATCCAGGCATCCGGAAGCATTGTGGACCTTGTCTTCTTGTAGGCACTCTTTCTGTAAGAAGATAATATGTGCCTATAGTTAGAATCATGTGATGTGATTCTACTGCCACAACTCCAGAGACTAAAACTGAAGACTAAAAAAGATATACAAACAGAATCAGTTTGGGGGATCTAAAAGTGGCAAAATTAAAGAAATCTAAAGAGCAGGTAAAGATGTAGACTCTTTTGGACAGACACTAAGAAGCTGTTTCTTCAGCCCAGCAGGGACTCCCTACCTTATCCAAGCTTATTTCAGGGCTCATCTTTATTTTTCAGCCTAAAATGTGGACAACACATCAAGCAGGATGACAGCTGCCCCCACCTGGCCCTATTACTGCTAGAGGTTCCTTCTCGTCCATCCCTCTTTTGCCAGAGCCTATTTCCCCATCACAGTACTCTTCTACTAATCCTTAAGGCATTCATAGGGAATACCTGAAAGCTTCCCAGATGAGTCTGATAACTGTACAGGGCCAGCTGTACATATATATGTCTCCTGCCCCATCAAGGGACAAGTCTGCCTCCTTACAAAGGGACTATCTTTTTATTGTATATGTGTACAGCACCTAACGAAATAGGGTCTTGATCTCCTGATTGGGGTCCAAATGTGCAACTATCAGAAAAATAATTATAAACAATGTGAAACACTGTTTTTCATCCTTGGCTTGCACCAGTTTTCCTGTACTGCAAGTTTTAGAACATAAGAGGAAACCATACCACTCTAGAAACCCATGTAATAAATCAGCCCTGAAAGTAGTACAAACAATTTTAGTTATGATCATATTTATTTTAGTGCAGGGGTCAACAACCCTTGGCATGCATGCTGAGCATGGCATGCAAGGCCATTTCGATCAGCACACCACTGCCAGCCTGGGCTCTAAGCAGCTGCTGCCAGCCACGAAGCGCAGGCTGCTCCCAGCAGGCGGTTGGGAGGCTGCAAGCCCTGCTGCAAGCAAACTGTGCTCCGAGGGCTGGCTGCAGCCGGGAGGCTGCAAATGACTGGTCTGGGCTCCAGCATGTCGGCACTCCAGCACCTTACAAGGTAGACGTTGTGTTTTTTTCAGCACTCCGGCCAAAAAATATTGCCTACCCCTGTCTTAGTGTGTTTCAGATAAAAGGCTTCTCTTGTTAAATTGACGTTTTCTTATCATAAAACAAATATGGCCCGCATTCCTACTTCTGACATATCCCTTAACAAAACAATGTTTACTTTTCCTTCCAATTATGCAAGTTTGAATGTCAGCTATAGGACCTGCTTCTTTTCACATGTACCATAGTGGAAATTAGAAGTCATTGCCCTGAAGCTAGTGAAATTTAACATTTGTGAAAACACTGTGAAGGGGGAATGCTAGCTGCTAGAATTCCTATTTCATGTTCAGCTGTTTTGTACTCTTGACTTCTCTTTATAGAAGCAGTCACTTTTGGCTATCCATATGGTAATCATAACAAATAGAAGTTCGTGTTTCCCAGGTACATTGCACACAATTTTACTGTACTTATTTAATCTGATAAGTGTTATCTAAAAGCTCTTTTAGGAACAATCAGTAACAAATGGTTTTATTTGTGAAAGTGAGGTTATTTGTAAAAGATATGTTTTCTAAGTACACATTTGCATCCCTTGGAGGATTAATGTCTGGTAGATCCAACAGCGCAAATGGAGCTAGATAGAATGGGAAGGAAGTTTAGTATAGTTTGTTAGTTTACTGCTTGCACATTTTATGCAAAATCACATATGTTGTGCAAATACAGAGATTAAGGAAGTTCAGAAAGCTACAGATAAATGACTAAAAAACTTACTCACTTTGTATCTTGCAACATTTCCTATCAACCAAATAAAGCGGAAAATAACAACTATAGACTAAGAAGCAAGAAAGGCTATGTTATAAATGCACTTGCATAACTTCAGATTCAAGCCATTCAAACCTTCCTGTGCTGGGCTACCTAGATATAACTACAACAGTTAAAAGAGATAAAATTGCTTTTCAAACAATTGGCAGGAGGTAAGTCTATTTTTGCTTCATCGGATACTATAACTTACAATTAAAAATATTTATAATGGGAAAAAGAGGTATAAGCTAGGCCCTTTTCTTATATTTAGCAGGGTCTACTATGGTTCCATTAATATTGTAAAGTGAAATCTGAAGTTAAATATTTCCTAAACATCAAAAAATGAGTGCTTAAATTTCGAGCATTGCCTGCCACCTCAGGGAAAGACATTAATAATCTTTTTCCTTATTTGTGTTTCTTTGTCTCATCTGACATGTATTTTACAATATCCACATGAAAGCTTATAACCTGAATTGAATTATTTTTGGAAAATAAGAAGAAACTATTTGGCTATTGCCTCCTATATGTCAGAAAGTCAGATATCACTATCATTCATATTAGTCTGAGTACCAGACAAGTATCAGGACTGTTTGATAACATTCAAGACAATGTGATAACAGTTTTATGTTCCCTGCTAGTAAATACAAGACAGAGCCCAATGGAAGGGATGATAATAATTTCAACCTCTTAGATACATTTCTGAATTTTAAATTAACCATAATCACCCCTATATCAGCTTTCACTCAGCAATGGTCAAAAAGCAACCAAAATGCATTCAAACAATGGAATAGAAAGTAATATTGAAAATATTTCAGGGTATTTATTAAATATTTATATTAAATATTAAATATTTATTAAATATTTCAGGGTAAAACCAATAGTATGCCATAAGTTAGAATGTTGTGTCCTGATCATTCTCTCTCAAAAGAAATCAGAAACTGTAATTCAGGGAATTGATCCATATATAATAGAGCTGTGAAGATACTGCTGTACAAAAAAAAAAAAAGATTGAAAAATCTTTATTGTTTCATTTAGGACTAGACCTCATAAAGGGCTTAGGGATCAGATGCATAGTGGTAAACCAGGATCTGAAACAGGAATTAGGCAGAATTAAGGTGACTATACTAGTCCGGTGGCCACAAAACCTCTTAAGCAACTGCAGACATTCCAGCACACCTATGACTAGGCTTCTACACAAGCAAGGGAATAATTCAGTAAGAGCAGATACACATAATACCTGCTGAAGCCCAAATGCAATTCAGAGTGAGAGTGCTAAATTCAGTGGGTGATATTCTGTTTTTCCTGTCATCTAAGAGTCCAAAATTGGTCATCTACATGTTTGTCCAATGCGCAGGTTAGAATTCTATTCCTGGATGTGTAGCTCTGCATGATGACCATGTACTTGTGCATGGTGGGCATGCATGCTGGCAACAAAGTATGGGAAAATGCAAGAGCTCCCTGCTTTTCCTTCTAGGACACGTACCTGGGAAGCTGGGTCCCTTCACCCAGGTTGGGAAGTTTCTGTGACTTCCAAGTACAATGTTCTAACCATCACACCACAGGTCAACCATTATCCAGTCCCTCCTCCAGCAGTCCTTTAGAAGCTGGCACACTAGGCTGGCATAAGAGGGAGGTATGTGAGAGAAATGTGAAGCCAGGAAGAAGGGAGCAAACCAGAGGGTGTGCAACTCAAATAGCTGTTGGCCTGGAAGGAAGAGGACATTTTGACTAATTCCATTTTGGGTGTCTAAGGCTGCTCTGCATCCACATGGGTGCATGCTCTGGTTTTCTCTGATTTAAAAAAATCCCCAGTTTTCAGTTAAAAAAAAGTAACCCCAATTCCACATTTTTTCTGTGATTTAAATGAAACGCCATTGATAGATAGATAGATAGATAGATAGATAGATAGATAGATAGATAGATAGTGGTGTTTCATTTTAATCATGGAAACATGTGGATTTGGGGTTACTTTTTCTTAACTGCAAATTGACAGGTTTTTTTAAATCAGAAAACCAGGATCCCTGTCTATTACATAGTTGCACACAGTGGTCTATATGTGCAGGGCTGCATGTCAAGGAATAGACTTTCAGCCTGCGTATAAGTGTTGTTTTGGACACTTATGCAACCCAAATCACATGTAGACAATGAAATCTGGACACTTAGATGACCAGAACAGAATAGAATCTCACCCTACAGACCCAAGAGAGGCCAAATTGTGACAGTAGCTCCTGCTAGGGATGAAAATTTTGTTTTAAAAATTATCCATTTAACCATCTCTAATTAATAGGGCTGTGCGAAACAGCACCATTTTGTTTCAACTTCTATTTTGTCATTTTAAGGAGACAGTATTTTATTTCATCATTTCATTTTGAAGCACTGTTTCATTTTGTTTCATCAAAACTGTTTCACTGTTTCAAAGTGTTTCAATGTTTCACCCATAGTGTATAATGGGAAACCATGAAACTGCCTAAACTCTGTCATTTCTTGCCTGATTCAGATGAAAATTGCAGGGAGGGTAGCCTCTTTGGAAGGCATGAAGCCTGACAAGTTTCAAGGAGATAGGCATAGAGGTTCCTGGGAAACTGCACCTCAAACAGTTCAAAGCAAAATTCACGACAATTGCCGGTAGCAGCAGCCTCCTGTCATCTGGTGCGCAGATCCGGGGGCCCGCACCTCCAAGATGACTGTAGGGATGTGCCAGAGTCCTCCCAGGGGTGTGGGCCCCCATATCTGCATGTCAGATGACAGGAGGCTGCCGCTGCCAGCTGGCACCAGCGCTGGGTGCAGCCTATGCTGAGCGCCGGGAAGACTGCTGCTGCTGCTTGCTCCCACTGGCAGTGACAGCATGCTGTCATCTCGCACACAGATCTGGGGGTCTGCACCCTTGGGAGTGCTGTGGGGCTGTGTTAGACTCCTCCTGGGGGTGTGGGCCCACAGATCTGCATGCGGGGTGACAGCAGGCTACCGCTGCTGGCTAGGACCGGTGCTGAAGCCAAGTAAGCCTGGCTTCAAAACATGAAACATTTCATAACTTCTGAAATGTTTTGAGTGCTCTTGTTTTATTTTAAAGGTATTTTGAAGCCTTTTGTTTCATTTTGATTTTGCTGTTTCAAGCTCGAAACGCATCAAAACAGCTTTGAAATGAAACACCCAGCAAAATGTCACACAGCCCTACTAATTATATTACTTAAATGGTTAACCAATAGCACATACCTAGGTCTGCCATGGGGTAGGGTCTGCAGCTGACTGCCTGGAGCAGCATAGAGAGCCAGGGGCTGTACACAGGCCCTCTGGGATGCAGCTGCTGCTAGGAGCTACTCCCCAGGGCCTTAATAATGGGGGGAGGAGGTGGCAGCAAACCCCGCCAGACAAGACAGTCCAAGTGAAGATGGAGGCAGGAGCAGTAGGCAAGGGCTTCCCCAGCCTGCTGCAGCCACTGGCACGCTGAGAAGGAGGGAACAGGCAACATGGGTCAGGAATGGGTTTAAACTTTAAGTAGCCTGTCCCTCCAGCCAGCTTCCTGGCACCTGTGAATAAGCAGCTAATTTCTTAATTGATGAGTCAGTAGGCCATACACTGTTTTCCTTTTTTACCTCATAGCCTATTGTAACTAGTTCCCCTTTGCCCCTTCCTCCTCCCTCCTGCATGCCCTGCTGCCTTCCTGTTCCTAAGGCACTGCAATGCTTCCCTTCCCTGCCAGACTGTGCCTTGCACTAAATGTTAATCAGTAATGTATTACCAGTGTGCATATACATATCATTTAAACATTTAACCTTTCACAGCCCTAGCTCCTGCCCTTTGAATAATTGCCCTGTAGGTAGAACATTTGATTAGGATGTACAAGATCTATGTTCAGTGCTCTCCTCACCCTTAAGAGGATTCAAACCCCCAGTTCCTACTTCTCCAGACAATGACCTAACCACCAAGCCACTGAATAATCTGGGTGGGGTACCCTGTGCCTTCCTATTAGAGGTTGGCCAGTTAACCGCCAATTGTATAAGAGTCATGGGCTCAGAAGGAAAGCAAGCAAGAGCATCACCACCACCACCAACTCACCTGTTCAATAATGCACATACCCTAGAAGAGGATCTGATACTCTGGATCTAGAGTTAATGGAAGTGCCTAATGTGAAACCCTAAATCAGGTCTAAATTCCTAAGAAGGGCGGAAGCTCAGACACACCCATGTAGTTGGTGTTTGCTATTAGCTGTATTCATGACTCCCTACTCAGTGGGTAGGCACTCTAAGTAGTCCTTTGGAGGTGCCTAACTCTCTCCATGGATGGTGTGGGGAATTTAAGTGTCTAATCCTATTGTTTTGATTCACTTTCCTGAGGCTAGGTCCCTCATATCTAGATTATGTAACACCTAAACAGGAGAAGCCTAAAATACCAACCCTAGCCATGCCTTAATTTACTAGATTCTTCCATGTTTAACTCAAAGGCCACGAGGTGCCTAACATTCTCCACTGGCACATGTTCACAGCTGAGCCAGTCTGAGCAACTCAGACTTCGTTCTCACTTAAGCCTGATCAGCAGGGATCCTAGTTTTCTCTGATTAAAAAAAAATATATCCCCAATCTTTGAATTAGAAAAAGTAACCCAAAATCCACATTTTTCTGTGTTTAAAGTGAAACACCACTAATATAGAGATATTATATTATAAATTATAAAATGAAACACCACTAATATATATATTATATTATATAATATCTCTATATTAGTGATGTTTCATTTTAATCATGGAAAAATGTGGATTTTTGGTTATTTTTTAAATCCAAAAATTGGGTGTTTTTTTTTTTTTTTAAATTAGAGAAAACCAGGATCCCTGCTGATCAGGATTCAATCCTCAGTCCCCTAAAGGCCCAGTCCACTAGGTGTTCTTGGATAACAGTGCAATGCATACTAACATGTAGCTCACCACAGGAAATCATTAGCTAAGCTGAGAAAAGGGGGAATAATATTATAAGCATAAAGTATAAAGAATTGATAAAATGATAAAACTGGGTTTTGCTGAAAGAGGATGCACCCATCCTATTCAATGTTTTCATTAGTGACATTAATGCAATGGTTGTTTTGCAAATGTTGGAGATAACACATTGCCAATATAAAGAAGGATTCAATCATTATACCTAAAGAATTAGATCACCTCCTACTGCAGAGTTTATTAGTTTCATGCACCCTAAGAGGGTCACATGTAGATGCTGAGTCATTTTAGTCAACTGTGCAGTAAGAGTCTCATATAGACATGCTCATAGAGTGGAAAATCATGTCCTTGAGGACTAACACCAAGAATTTTTGCTATAAGGTAAGGACTCATACACTAAAGGCAGCAGAGCGGGAGAGGAACCATAGTGTACTGGTCAATCATATGGCAACCATGAGCTGCCAACTGTGCTGCAGCCATGAAAAAGTTTAATGCAATTTTAGAATGTATTATGCAGGGTATTGCTACTAGAGAGAAGAGAAGATTATCAAGGCTGTATGAGGCATTTGTAGGAACTTGAAAATTATATTTAAACTGGAAATTAGAAGATTTCTAGTCTTTTAAAATAGTCTTTAGAACAAAGTAGTGGGACAGGAGACCTGAATTACTTCAATATGGAGCTTGATAAGTTCATAGAAGTGACAGTATGTTAAGGATAGAAGTTATTCCTGAAGCAGTAAGATAAACATGTGATATGTACAGTACATTAGAGTATTTGATACTCTCCACTTTAATTATTTGGCTTCTTTTGGGTGTTCGGGTTTTGTTTGGGGGTTTTGTTTTGTTTTGGGTTTTGTTTGTTTTTTGTTTGGTTGGTTTATTTCCCTTTCCTACGAAGTAGGGAACATTAGCTATGGCTAGACGTAGGTGTTTGGTTGTGGTGCACTGATTCTCCTAATGCTAATGATAAATTTCCCAAGTGCCTGGCTGGAGGGTTTTGTTTATATGCTTAGGATCATACCAGCTGCCAAAGCTGGATGAATGCAGAGGACTGGATTTAGTTGTCTGGGAGGCCCCTTTGTGTCCTATAGTATTGTGTCTCTAAACCCCAATTCAATGCCTTAGCCATTGAACCCTGCTACTAGTAGGTACATGATAAATGCTTAGATGCCTTTAAACAATAGTTAGAAACAGCCTTTTTCCTTAAAAGAAATTATAGGCATCTAAGTGTTCCTTGTATCTTTCTTCTCTTGAAGGTTTCATTCCTGTGTTTCCAAAGGAGAGGGGGAAAAAAAGAAAGCATGATGGCTGTTCCAGGGCTCATTGTGATGATCTGGTGCATCATGTCATTTTCTTCAGTGCAGGCTGTCCTCCAATGTACAGACTGTAAGTGAAATACATTGACTGAGATATTTTAAAAAATTGGGTTTTGTCATGTTATGCCTGATAGATAATGGCCTCTTCACTTGAAAACGTGGAGAAATCCTATCACATCTTTCTGATGTTCATTTCAGTAAACGACACACCCTCGCACATTACAAACATGAGGGTGAATCTGAGAAAACTAGAGATGACCTGGGAGAGCAGTCTCAATGTTACCCTATTCTCATGTACTCTGAAAAAGGACGAGGATTTTCTCATTCTTGATGTAAGTTTTCTCCTTACTGATTACTACAAGAAATTATTTTTCCCCTTTATATACTTAATTTCTGAAACAAAAATGTATTTGTATTCAGTAAAATTATAACAACTAACAAAGTAACTCATGTTTAAGGACCTCCTGGAGATTTCAAGGTTGCTGGATATGAAAGTTGCTCAATGCAAAACCACCTTTTCATCTACTAACACAGGGATAGGCAAAATATGGCCCGCAGGGTGGTGTCATCTGGTCTGAGGGCACCCACCAGTTAATTGTACCCTCCTGTGTGGGATGGCTCCAGCCCCAGCCCCAGCCCCAGCCCTAGCCCCAGTCGGCATCCATAGCTTCCAGGCAGGGCCACTGCTGCAGCTGCTGGGAGACCTGTTTGGCTTCCCAGGCCTCCAGAGGCTCCTCCTGTATCCCTACTGCAGTGCTCCCTCTGGGCAGCAGGTAGGGAAGCTGCAGCTTGGTGGGACTGTGAAGCTTGGGGCTGGCAAGAGTGGGAAGCCCAGGGCCCATGCCCAGCAGGGGAGTGGGAGCATGGAGCTCAGGTGGGCAGGCTGTGAATGTGTGTTAGGTTTGTGGGGTGTGATGGAGGGTGAGAGAGTGTGGCGACTCCCCTTCACGTCCCCCGTCCCCCCCCCAATGCAAAGCCCCTGCCACTGGCAGCAGCAGTGGCAGCAGGCAGTGGACCCTCTGGGTGCTTGTGGCCTGCACAGGCACAGCTGCCCTGCAGTGCATGGCTCCAGCCAGTCCTAGGAGCTGCATGTGGCAGCAAGGAGCAGAGCCAAGCCAGCCCATCTCTATCACCCATGGCTCCCTGCCACTCACATATCACTCCAGGGACTCACGCGGCACTGGGGGAAAGCTCTGCATCATGGAGGCGGCTGTCTTCCCCACTCCTTGCCACCACGTGCAGCTCACAGGACTCCGCCAGGAAGCAGTGCCACTTCCAGCAGAGTCCTGTGAGCTGCACAAGATGGCAGGAAGCAGGGAAGGCAGCCGGCTCCTCCACTCCTGGAGCTGTACATGAGCCCCAAACAAGAGAGGCGGGCCAGCCTGGCTCTGCTCCTCACCAGCATGAGCAGCTCCTGGAACTGGCTGGAGTTGCGCGCTGTACAGTGGCTGTGCCTGCGTGGACCACAAGCACTTGGAGGGCCTGCTGCCTGTTGCTGCTGCCTCCACCAGCAGTGGGGGCTGTGTGCCATAGGGGGAGTGTGTGTGGGTGGTACCCACACTCCCCCACCCCCTTCACACTCTACAAACCCCCCACACCCACACCACCCCCAAAACCTTCCCATGTATACACACACTCACTAATATATACCACATCCCCCCACAGACAGCTACACCCCCTCACAAACCCCACATACCCACACACCCTCACTCCCCCGACCACACCCCACACTCTCCGTCACACACAATATACAAGAGTAAGACTATTTTTGATCTATTATGCAATCACCTGTATATATACTATGCAAATACACATAAATTAGGACAAAAATATTTTTTGAAAGAAAATTAAAATATGCTACATTAGATATTTGACATTTAGTATATGATTTGTTGTTTTTTTTTCTGGTTCCAAGATGGCAACCCACACCCTCCCAAAGTAGTACTACCACGGCAAGGAGAGAGACTTCTGGTAGCAAAGGTCAGGGGTCAGGGGATAGGACTTCCAGTCCCAAGATGGTGACCAGGGAGTGGGGTACTTGTCAAGGTGCAGGGCTAACATTGCAGCCCTTGACAACTCACCAAAACTCATTAAGCATCCCTCCAGCCAAAATAATTTCCCACCCCTATACTAACATCTATGAGTAAAATGTAAACCTTTAGGCCGTGTGTAGATGAAACAAGAAGCATGTGTGCATGACACTTTAAAGTGGGCTAAATGCTTTTGTACCACTTTAATGGTGTTGGTGTTTGCACACCTCGGTGGCGTATTGTGCATTCATTCCAGCCGCTGTAGGAAATTTGGTGGTAATGTGCCTTAAAAGACTTGGGGAGTTTTAGTTTACTGCCTCTACAGCCATGGAGTGAAGCGCCAGGCTCCGTGCAGCTCAGGGGTTCCACACAGACAGCCTGGCAGTAGCCTGGAAAAGCAGGCTCCACCGAAGAAAAGCAGAGAGCCTGATCTTTTTGTTTCCCCTCCCCGGAGCCTGCCTGTCTGAGCTGCGTGGGGGCCCAGTGCTTCCCTCCATGGCTGCAGTGCCCCCTGAGATTGCCCAAGCCGGATGCCTGCAGGTGGGTGCTGCCTGGGGGGGGCACCGCTGCTGCAGAGGGAAGCACCAGCCCCCCCTCCAGCTCAGGGACTGCTCTGCTGGCAGCTCACCCTCTACTCCCCGCCGAAGAGGAAGGCAAGTCAGCAGGGTGTGTGCATGACATGGGGGTTTAATCAGCCCTAAATTGAAGTGGAGTTTTTTTAAAACCCACCGCTTCAGTTTAGGGCCCCTGTTTCATCTACAAGCACCCTTAGACCACAGTGTGGTATGACTTTTGAAGGGAGAATAGGTGGGTAAGCACAGGGGTCCCCTCTGTGCATGCAGATAAGGGTGTGATGGGATCTAATGAGTGATCCACACAATCACACCCGCCTCCTGCCATGCTACACATGCATGGGAGGAGGCATGATTGTGGGCTTGTGAATCTGATCCCATCCTACCTTATTGCTGGTGCAGGGGGAATCCAATCCCATCCTGTTTTAATTTGCTGCTGTGGTCTTTCAGCTGCAGGGTGCGTGAGGCACCCCTGAGTCTAGGAGCTCTGTCAGCTGGTTTTAGCTTGGGCTGTCCATAGAACAAGAGGCACCTAAAGCAGCAAATGAAAAATAAAGGACTAAAATGAATGTGTGTTATTTTTCAGGTCAATAATACAAGCTGCAGGTTTGAAAATTCAGTAGTTCTACCCCTACATAAAGGACTACTGTTTATAGTTGCAGCAGTCTACAACAATAATACATATTCAAGACAATGCAGGTTTATTCCTCAAGGTAATGCACTTGCACTTGTGAAAAGTTTTGAGGTTATTTGCGATATTTTTGTGGCAAGTCTCTCAGAATAGGTTTCTATCCTTTATTTCTATATATTATTACATACGTTTTTGTAAATCTGCTAAACTGATTCAGTTTTGTAAAAAATTCTGGGCCTTATTCTGCAAGAACCACTATGCCGGTGAACGAGTCAATGTGTACAGAGTCAATTACATTTGTCATGATAATCCCTTACATACAGATCCAAGGGATTTAAGAGTTTATCAGTGGACTTAAACAAAGTTAACTACATATAGCCAGATCCAGGGGAGGTACAGTGATGACGTTGCACCCTCTTTGATTGCTGCTCCACCCGAGCTTTAAAACCAACTGCCTAGGAGAGGTAGCACATTTCAATTCAGGCAGTGCTGAGAATATCGATAGACTCTCCCTGATTCCTCTCCATTTCAACTGTTAACAAACCTATCTCCTTTTTAATGGGCTTGATGTTTCACTGTCCAATCTATCCTTTCTTCTGCAGTTTTGCAGTCTGATTGCCATTCCTTGTAATATCTCTCTTCTGCTTCACAATCCTGAAAACTGTTTTCAGCTCTAGCTAAAAACTTTAACTGGAGTGCGGTGAAACTAGCTCAGGTGTAGAAATGACTAACAGTGAAGTATCAGAGGCACTGTTAAAATGCTCAAGCAGGCTAGATGTTGTTTTATGAATCTGAATACGAGATGTACCTTTACTTATAATGACAACAGGACTGATACAATATCCTGTGACAATTTTTGCTGGGTTTGTTGTGGTTTTTTAAACTTAATATATACCCTAGCAAATTAGTGTGCATGCCAATAGTTATATTTGTTTTTTGTTTTGATCTGCACCTGAATAGTATAGTGCTACCTTCCCTACCATATGTGCCAACTCTGCAGCCCCAGCAAGTGAACACATTTACTTCTGATTCCAGATATACAGCACATGCCTGCTGTGGCTCAGGCCAGAAGCCAGGGGGTGCTAAAGCATGCCTCCCAGCCACTGCCAAAGGGCAGGGAAGAGGTTCAAGATTTCCCCCCTCCCTGCTCAAGTGGAGGGGGATGTGGCCCAGTATGCTGAGCCTGGGGTTTGGGGCTTTAACCCCCACTCCCTGACCCACAAAGGACCCCAGCCCACATCTGTCTGGGTGGGGGAGTGTGCTGTCCCTCCCAGGCTTATCTCCCACTCCCAACTCCAGGCCCAGGCCCCCATGCTGAGAGGTGGAGAGGGGGATTTAAATCCCATTCCTGCCTACAAGGAACCCCCACTGGGGCCTGCCTGGTGCAGGGGGTGGTGCAGGCCATGCCAGCCTTTGCCCCCCTCCCCGCTACTTGCTATGGGGTAGTCCCTGCCAGGCTTCCCCCCTCTTGAGTGGAGATGGGGGGGACATGGCCACACCCCAGCCTGGGGCTTGCACACTAAGGTAGGGAGGCAGGGGGGTTTAAACTCCCTTCCAGTCCCACACAAGACCCTGGACAGGGTCTGATGGGGGCAGCCCCTGTCAGACTTTTGCTCCCCAGCTCAAGCAGAGAGTGGGGTGCTGGCCAGACCCCAGCCTGGGGCTGGCACTCTGAGGTGAGGGGGAGAGAGATTTGAACTCCATGCCAGTCTGCCTGGGGGGTCAGCCTCTGCCATGCTTCTGTGCCCCCCTCCCCCTTCCCGTTCCGCAGGGGGAAAGTCCATGCCAGGGTTTTGCCCTCCCCTTGCGAAGAGAACAAGGGGAGTGGGCATGGCCCGGCC